TTCTTTCTTTCTTTCTTTCTTTCTTTCTTTCTTTCTTTCTTTCTTTCCTTTCTTCCTTTCCTCTCTCGCTCTGTCTCTCATTCTCTGAGAAAGAGAGAGAAAATAGAGAGAGTGGCTAAGAAGGAGAAAAGTAAGAGGTGGCACCCATGCCCACTTGCGCGCTTGCATTTAGGCCTCCTCTACTTCACTCAGGCTCTGCGGGGTTCCGCGCTCAAGGCAGGCGGGTGACCTCGGGGTCAGCAGGGTCCCCTCCACTGAGCTGTGCCTGGCTCTGTGCCAGTCTCCTAACCCCTCCGCCCGCGCTGGTCCCGCCCCGCGTGGCGACTTCTCCCTTTCCTTCAGTCCTCGGTTGGCCGGCCCTGGGTGGGGCAGCTGCGCCTTCAGGACTGTCCTCCTCCTCCCATTGCCTAGAGCGGGGGGGCTATCCCGGGGGCTCGCGGAGCCGCACCTGAGCCGCAGGGGGAAACCGAGGCCTGCGCCGCGCCGCAGGCAGTGCACTCTGCGGGTCGCAGCCTTCTAGCCCATAGGACGCCCTGTTAGCTCCGGCCCTGCGCTTCAACTACTGGGAAAGTTCTCCGCCAGGCGGAACCTGCCGACTCTGGCCGCGCCCCTGCGCGCGGGACCCGCGCCGCGGCGCGCGCCCGGGGTCCACCTTGCGCCGCCCCGCGCGCAGGCAAGGAGCAGCTGCCGGGAAACCCTATGAACTCTCCAGAAAGGGCGTGACGAAGGGTACTGCGGGGCGCGGTCCTAGCCGCCCCCTCCCCCTCGGTGGAGCTTACCGGCAGCAGAACAGAGGAGCGCTAGAGGATGAACTTGCGGTCTCTGGGGACCTGTGAGCGGTAATACTAGCATGTAAGTCGCCTCCCAGCTTGGAGCCCTTCGCACCTCCATCTGGGTCCTCTTCTCCCCTTTAGCTCAGCACTTCCCTGAAAGGTACCCACCTCAGTACAGAAGCTTCAGCGTGCCTCCTTGAGGCACCGGGACCGGGTATTGCCAAACGGAGCTGGGCAAGTGTGTGTGGTTTTCTGCCCTAGAGAGGTAAACCTCGCTTTGGGATAGTGGAGAGCAGAAGAACAGCAGGCAGGGCTTCAAGTACGGGGAAAACGTGGTTTTGATTCAAATTAAACAAGGAGTAACTGGCAGTGCAGCTGCCTGCAGGGCTCTGGCGCTGCCAAGCCAGCGCTCCCTGAAACAACACCTGGGACCTGGGAAGGTACTGCTGAGCCAGGGAGTCGTCTTTGCCCATAGGAGTCGTTCGTAGATCTTTTAGATATTTAAAGGACTTTTTTTTTTTTTATTATTCAGTTGCACCCCCCCGCCTTTTTTTTTTTTTTTTTTGAAGAGCCCAGAAAAATGTTCTGAATGTACTATGTAGATTAAAAAGTAATTAAGGAATGTGATGGGGGCTTCCTGTAGAATTACTAGTAGGAGGCATAGAAGAGAGGGTGAGATGGTCAAAGGAAAAAAAAAAAAAAGCTACAAGCTTTTCCTTGGATGGAATTGCTATCCCAGTTGTGGGGTGACTCTGAGGGACCTGGTAAAAGGGCAGCCTCCCGCACCGCTGGCCTTCCAAACTGGAAGATGGTTTTCAGAAGGGCCACAGCTATCTTTGTGGCCAACTTAGGAGTTACTTTTTCTCACAGTGTGTAATTTTTCCCTCTGCTGTTTTATTTATTCTCGGGCAGACAACTTGAGAGACTTTTTAACCCACTTCCACTAACTTGTTGAAGAGTTGTAGAACACTGTTACTCTCTCCGCTACTCCATCCTTACTTACTTCTGCTTCAGTTTCCTCTTTTAAGTTAGCGCCTAGGGTCTTGGGTCTTTTCCCCTACTCTGCTCTGTCGCCCTCTGCATCCCCAAACACAAATTTAAGTTGAGAGATGAACAGAGCACACCAGACAACACTCCGCTCTGCATTTCTGATCTCGGCGCTGTGCAGTGTAATAAATACCACATATTTTTATTAAAACTCCGTGTGAAGTAATGCCACACCTGTGAGTTTTACAGTTTTGCTTATGGCAGAGGAGTGGACGAATGCATAACTCGTAAGCATTTGTTTTGGGAGACGGCCAGCCATCCAACATACGACTTCTTCTCCTATGTAGGCAACAGGTTTGGAACGAATGTTAAGTTTGTTTCCAGCTTCAATTTTTCGTGCAAATATACCCGGGCTTTTCACAGGAGATATTTAGGCAGCTTTCTTTCAGCCTCCCTGGTATTGAGAGCTCCTGGGATTAAGGGTACAACGCACAGTCACTCAGACACACAGATACACAGACACACACACAATAGCTTTTAAAAATTAAAGGATGCGAAACTGATCAACAGCTAATAATAAAATTTTCTTGATAATGCAATTAAATTATTTATTCCATTTGAATTCGGTGTGATTAAATTTATGTCTTCTCAGGTTGAATCACGAGAAAGCAGTCATCTAAAGTTTTTAACCTTGATTTAAATTTCTTTACCTAATTCTTTTATTGGATTTTTTTTATTTTTTTATTTTTTTTATTTTTGCGTGTGTGTGTCATTCAAGATGGTTATGTGTCTTTTCTGTGCATTGGTTTGAGCTATTTTGACCCATTTTAGCCATTGGGCAAGTTAGAATACATGGAGATAATGCAACTCTCCCCAAAGTAAATACTTCTATTATTTTGTTGAAAATGCTGAAATGGGAAACAGAAACTATAGTTTTCAAATTTTAATTGCAGTAAATAAAAATACACAGGATACTTAAGTGTTTTGTCTGTCTCTTTCTTTTGGAGAACAAACTTGTATACTGTTAAAGTTATGGTTTGAAGTTACAGACTTTATGAATATATTTAGGAGTTGTAACAACTGAAAGTTTTTTGTGCTCTGAGAAATTCAGTAGATTTAGCAAGACTGGCTTTTGTTGGTCTCATGCTGCATGAAGATTCTGTTCCATTTATGGCTTATATAAGTTTCATGACATTGTGTCTTTCCAGTGTGAATGGTGAATGAGGCCATTGTTTGTTGGCTTATGAGAAATATCAGAAGCCCATAGTTGTTACTGCCTAAGTGAAGTGTCACTCTGATTTCTGGAAATAATGATTTGAGAGAAATTTCATTTATATATTAAAAATAAACTGATGATAGCGTCTGTAGGCCCAATCATGTTTCTAACTGTCCATATATTATATAAAATTTTCATTTCTGATGAAAGAAGTAGAAGTTTCTAGAGACTATCTAGTACTTAGACTAAACAGAAAGCGTGTGCAGTATTTGTGGCAAGACATATATGCCATGTTCATGCCTAGTTGGATGACATCATTAACTTATCAAAGCTCAATGACATTATGATGTACATGGCTTGGTGGAAATGGCATTTAAAGGATGTTCCAACTCCAACCAAAATCCCAGTATAACAAGGGTGGCTACCTGCAGATCATCTTAACTTTCTCTTTACTCAGAGTGGAATTCTGTGGAATGCCTTTCAACATTATTTAAAAGACAGATATAATGAAAGCTTAAATGTTTATGATAGAATTGGTTAAAAAACACAATCAGAAAGAAAAATATTTATACTGTAGCAGAAAAGTATGTATATGACTTGATCCTGCCAATCCAAATAAAGGAAATCCAAGAGAGACACTTCCGTCAGCTGACAGTGATCAAAGCAATGCCACTCACCAACACTGGTGTCAGCAGCCAGCATGGGTGACAGCACTGATGTGCCCCAGAGCATATTGTGAGTGCATTCAAGGTTTTTCTGTTTTACAAATTGTAAACCTACAAAAAAAATGAAAGAATAAAAAGAAAAACACAAAGGGGGCTGGAGAGATGGCCTAGCAGTGAGAGCCTTGCAACTCTTGCTACTCTTCAGTCCCTAGCCCTCGGTTTGATAGGTGACTCATAATCATCTTTGACTGAAGCTTCAGGGCGTCCAGCACCCTCTTCTGGCCTCCAGGGGTACCTACACGCAGGTGCTCTCATTCATATAGACACACAAACAATAGAGCATGTGTGTGTGTGTGTGTGTGTGTGTGTGTGTGTGTGTGTGTGATATAAATGTCATCATAAAAATACAAAGAATAACCTAGGATTCTTTTTTTTTCTAGAGTCATATTTTATAAACATTAGTCTTATATTTTTAAAATTATCAAAGATCATTTGTGTGATCATTCCCTGCATACCCTTACCCTATAATTTTGTCTTTTCCAGAACTTTCTGAAATTAAATTGCATCAAGGCTTAGGGGTTATTTTTCATGGAAAAAAATTTTAGATTTATTGTAGTTGTAAAAAATATGATGACATCCCATGTATCCTTTGGCTAATTTTTCATTAAGAATATTTTACAAAACTATAGAAGAAAATAAAAAAATAGGTTGTTGATAAATTACAGCTATTTCTCCCAGTTTTTTCAGTGCTGGTGTGTGTGTGCCTACCGGTGTTTGTGCCTGTGTGTACCTCTGTGTGTGTGTGTGTGTGTGTGTGTGTGTGTGTGTGTGTGTGCACATTTGTATAAATTCTCAGGTTGACTTCATGGTATGAGCCAGCCATGCATATTCTTACTCAAATAAGGCAGGCTTTGTGAAGACCAGTGCAGTGAATGAGACTTTACTAGTGGTGGAGCTGAAGGCAGCTTAATGAAGGGCCTCACATCAGGAATAGGATAGCACTTCTTTATATGCTGCTTAGGAACATGAGCTTTCAAAGAAGAAATGCTATTATGAGCAGGCTTGAAAATGTTAAATGACTATTCTTTTTATTCCTATAGAAACGCAGGTGTTTTCTGAAGCTCCCAAACCCCTTTATGAAAAGATTTGCTTATAGAAACACTGTAGGGATGGGGTTGAGGGGTCGAATTCTGACTATTTATATTAGTAGAACTAATATCCTATTCAATTTCTCTATTAATTTCAAAATTTGTGACTTTGGGTAAACCACTAGAAGTGATGGGAAGTGGTAGATTTTGAAAGTCTCTTTGCTCAGTTTTTGGATAAAGTCATGTCTACCAGTGCTGAGATGTCTATTGGATATAATTACTGTGAATGCATTTTTGCCTAAAGCTTTCCAAAATGTGCTCAAGCATATGGTATTTTGTAGCCTATCAATTTGACATAGGGTTGCAGTAGAGGTAAACTGGTCCCCCAAAGGACAGCTGGATTGGAAGCCAGGGGACAAAAAAGGTTTGAAGCTTACCACTGATCCTGAAAACTGAGCAAGTATTTTAATCTCTTATTTTCTCACCTGTGAGATGATAAGTTTGTCTGTATAGTGAAAAATACTCTTTGTATATTATACAAGGCTATGTATTCATTTTCCTCTGAAATGTGTTTCTGGGGTCTAGAAAGATGACTCAATGGTTTGGAGCACTTGCTGTTCTTTCAGATGACTAGGGTCTGAGTCCATCATCCACATCAGCTGGCTCATAACCACCTGTAACTCCAGTTCCTGGGGATCCAATACACAGTCTTTTCTGACTGCCATGGCTACCCACATGAGCCTGGCATATACACACAAAAATACATAAATAAAAGTAAATCTTTGAAAAACATTTCTGTTCTCTTTGCTCGAACTCTGAGACCATTACCAAAACTGTACAGACTTGAAGTCCCTGTTTAGACCACAATAACCCTGTTCAGGATTTTCCATTCTTCTGAGAAAGTTATTATTTACATTTCAGGGATGTATCTTTGCTAAGTGATCCCATGAGAAGACCCACAGTGCTTTCTCTTCCCCTTTTTATTCTCAATTTATTTGTTTCTGTTCTTCAGTAAACAGCAAAGTGGATGAACGTTGGCTTCTCATATGGTTTATGTTTGGTTACAAGTGCTTACTCTGTCCTGGCTCCTTTTGTGCCTAAAGTGATGGAGTCCGGGAATGTGTCAAGCCCTGCTCTTCATTTGCAGCCGTTGCTTGATAGGATTGCAGTCAAGTTTGGTAAAACAACTCAAGGACCAGTAGTAGAGTCCCTAAACATAGGACCTTTTATAGCAAAGGAGAAGTTGCACGGAAAATAAACAGTATCTGGTATCCAGTTTGAGAGCATGTATACACTTAAGAAAGGAGACAATGTTCACATACTGATGGAGGAGAATCACCCCGATGCCACACAAAGGAAGAAGCTGGGAAGCTGACATGACTCTTAGAAAGGCTGGCAGCCAGCTGTTTGTTCCTTTTCATTTTGTTGGACCTCAGTTTCTTCTTCTGTGAAAATGTTAAGCTAGTCATCATATTTTGGATTTCAAGTTCGCTAAATTTCTTTGAATAGTTAATTGTTCTTTTGTTTTAGAAGCACAACCAATTAATTCATCCCCAGCATGAATGGGGAACACCTCATTCATACAACGTCAATAGGAAATTAGCCTACTCTTCTGAACAAGCCACTTTTCTCTGTGACAGACAGTCTTTTGTGAGACCCCCTGCTAACTGATCAGGGTGGCAGGGGCAAACTTACAGAAAAGCAACAAGTCTCACAGTTCAAAGTTCCTGTTCACCAAATCATATGGTTAACAGAAAAACAGCACATATGCCTGGCCATTCCAGAGTTCATATCCATTATTATCAGTATTATTATTTACTCAAACATGTTCCTCTTAAAGGGTAGCTGCTTTTAGCTTCAAATATATTGGATGGAAATATATGCAGACATGTCTTCCATACAAAATAATTCTTCTTCAGACCTTAATCTTGTGTTAGTTTAGAAATCCCAAATGGACAGCTGCCTGCAGCTGGCACTTGTAGAATGTGGCGTACAAGACTATGGTATGAATTTCAGGCACTACATGAAATGTATTCATTCACAGCAGGCATCAATTACTTTGTCTTGTTCCCAGGTGACCCCAGAAGTGGCTCTAAAGTAATTTGATGGATACTGGCATAAGAGATTAAGCCTAATAGTCTGTGATTGTTTAAGTGCCTTCCTTTTATTATAAAGTGGATAGCATGTTTGGCATGACAGCAATTATAATAACAGCTGTTATTTGTGGAATGCTTGTGAGGTATCAGGCCCAACTTTTGAAGACATCATCTTATTTTTAAGACATCTGTCAGTGGCTCTATGGGCTAGGTATGCTACTGATCCTAACTTTACAGGTGACACATAGGCACAACAGGTTAAATAAAATGCTGGGATTCCACAGGCCTAAGGTACCACCAAACTCAGACCTGTTTTATTACAACCCATGTTTTCTTTGATACATTGTCTCTCACAGTAAAAATAATGATTCAAAATGTATTCCTAAGGAAAGTACAGGAATCCTTTCACGTATGTTTTCTCACTTGCATGTTTTCTTGGTTTCCCATATATTGCTACACACTTTACCCATGAAAGCAGACTTTAGATTTTAAGAATGTATCTTTTTCTTCTGTATATAAAATTACTCTCTGGTGGTAATTGCCACTTTGCTGTCTCTTTAGGTGATTTCTTCCCATGGCTTTACATCTGCCTTGTCTCCCCTCACTGTCAGTCCTTTTACGGCCTCTGTAAACAAATGGCTTAGGTTCTTATTGCATCATTCACAGGCTTGCTTTTTTTTTTTTTTTTTTTTAATGATGCGGATTCAATAAAATCTGTTGCAAGCCATGATAACATGGAATCCTTTCTAAGTATTTAGTAAATACATTTTTAAATATAGATATGACATTGCTGGTCCAGCAAAATGGATTTCTAACCAGGTAAAGACACTTGATACCAAGTCTGATGACCAAGAGTTTGATACTTGGAACACAGATAATGAAAGTTGAAAACCAACTCCCAGAAGTTGTCCTTTGACTTCTACATGCACACGTGTGCAGGCATACACAAACATGCAATAAATAATCATAATTTTAAAATGGGAAAAGATAGCACTGCTATACACAAGGACTGAACAATTTCACCTGCATCGGACATTACTTAGTCATTTACTGGCACTTTTGCTGGACCTCACAGGCAGAGTTACTAACAAACCTTGAGGTCACATAAGACTTATCCTTTACATATATGCACATGTATGAATACACACACACACACACACACACACACACACACACAGAGAGAGAGAGAGAGAGAGAGAGAGAGAGAGAGAGAGAGCACAAACACAGGCATCTCATTCCTTCCCGATGTGATGCTTCCTATGTTGTTCAGTAGGGGTAGACACCATTTATACTTAGACACACAGACACAGCACACACACATACACACATAGATCTGAGAACACACACAGAGACACAGACTAAAACAGACATATACAGGGATAGAGGCAGCCACAGAAACGAATAGATTCACAAGACAGCCTTTAGGCAGACAGATTCTGACTCATGCAGGACACAGACAGGAGAGAGAGGATATAGGAACATTCGATAGAGAATTCAGAACTGGTCCTGTACAAGTGTACACATAAAATTGATGAATTTATATATGTGTTCATGTGTGTGTGCATGTGTACATGCCTGTGTTTGTGGTCTCTGTGTGTGTGTGTGTGTGTGTATTCATACATGTGCATGCAGGTGCTTGTGGAAGCCAGAGTTCAGCATCCTGTGTCTGCCTTATCCACCTCATTTTTTGGCCTGTCCTCATCACTGAGATTACAGGGGCTGCCTGGCTTTTAAGATGAGTCCTGGAGATCTGAACTGGGGTCTCTAGGCCTCCCTAGCAAGCACTTTACTAGCTCCCTGGCCCTTTAATTTCTTTCTCTTTGCTTGAAGGGGATGATGTGGGCCTCACTCATCTTTTAAGTCTCTTCCAAGGATGTGACTGAGAACACTTGCTTTACATTCCTCAGGCCCTGAATTCTGTCCCTTATATATTAAGTATTTAATTTAAAAACAAGACTAAAAATGCTTCTTCATTCAGTTCCTGCTGGAAACCATATTTTACGTTATTTGTCCCAATGCCTTATTGAAGGGTACCTGTCCTGACTATGACTTTCTGTCATTAATTGCAGGATGTTTGACGTACAGGGGATGAGGTGCTGCCATTGGAGATGGAAGCCAAGCGTCCTTCTGCTTCTGTTTGCTTTATGTATTATGTGTATTCCTCCCTCAGGTAGGACTTTCTTCACAACTGGCTTAGTAATGATAACACTGTCCTCTTTTGGAAGTGTGCATCTTACTCAAATGACCTTTATTTTTTTTTTTCTTCTCTCATATATACATTCTGAGTTTTCCCTCCCTCTCTCTACCCAGTCCCTACCCACAACCTCATTTCTCCCAAGTCCACTCCTCTTCCATTTAAGAAAAAGGCAGCCCTCCTAAGGGCAACCAAACATGACATATTAAGTTGCATAAAGACTAGGCAACGCTACTCCACTCTTTTGTTTTGTTTTTTAATTTCAATTTATTCACTTTGTATCCTAGCTGTAGCCCCCATCCTTGTTCCCTCCCAATCCCTCCCTTCCTCCCTCATCTCCTCCTATGCCCCTCTCCAAGTCCACTGATAGGAGAGGTCCTGCTCCCCTTCCCTTTGACCCTAGCCTATCAGGTCTCATTAGGACTGTCTGCATTATCTTCCTCTATGGCCTTTTAAGGCTGCTCTCCCCTCATGGGGAGATAATCAAAGAGCCAGCCAGAGTTCATGTCAGAGACAGCCCCTGTTCCCCTTACTAGGGAGTCCACTTAAAGACTGAGCTGCCATGGAACACAAGGAACATTACGAACCTCATTCTGTGAAGCCACAGTCACCTTGATACCTAAATCTCACAAAGATCCAACAAAGAAATAGAATTTCAGGCAAATCTACCTTAGGAACATTGATGCAAAAATACTCAATAAAATCCAAGAACACATCAAAGATATCATCCACTATAACCAAGTAGTTTCATCCCAGGTGGTTCAATACACAGAAATCCATCAATGTAATCCACCATGTAAACAAACTAACACAAACAAACAAACAAAGAACACATGATAACGCTCCACTCTTTTGAAGGCTGGATGAGGCAGTGCAGTAGGAGGAAAAGGATCCCAAGGAAGCTAAAGAGTCAGAGAGGGCAACTGCTTCCCACTGTTAGGAGTCCCACAAGAAGACCAAACTCTACAGCTGTAACACATATGAAGAAGGTCTGTTAGACCCACACAGGCTCCTTCTGTTGGCTCAGTCTCTGTGAGCCCCTGTAAACCCTGGGTAGTTGATGCTTGTGGTGAAATGACCTTAACTTTTATCAGTTACACTCCCTTCCCCTCATTTCACACTCATCTAAGTTTTTCTTTGTCTCTGGTCTCCATCTTCTCCCAGGTCTGTGTGAATTCTATCACTGCCATCACTGTTTTGTTTCCTAATGAGTTTATTTTTTAATCTTTGCTGTCTTTCTTCTCATTTTATTTATTTACTTAGCCTATAGAGAGTGACAAGATAACCACTTAATGGACAGGAAAAAGGCACTGGCTCTTTCTTCTGTTGAAGAAATACATTGCACTTGTGTCTGTTGAGTTTTCATATACCCATTTATGGAAAATGCACACTTTGCCATTTTCATCAATCCTGACTTGATTAAATTTTTGTAATATGAACGTTGCAATTTTCATGAGGGAATTTGAAGTTATGCCTTTTAGTTCACAGTTTACTTATGTTATCGGGTATGAAACAATTAATTTTATTTACAGTTTTTTTAACTTGTAATTGAACTGTTCCCTCATCTTTGAACTAGGATTCTTCAGATGTTGAAAATTACATTTTATATAAATTATTATATAAGTAAACCAAATAGTCTATAACATGTGAACAGTGTTTTAAAGGAAATTGCTACTTGTCTGCTTTTTTACTAAATTCTCTGTGTTTAATTCTTTATTTTCTCTTCTTATATTGATTTTATTACATTTTCTAATAGAATAAAGCAAAAAATGTCAATTAAGAAAATAACTATTTAATTTTTATATGCTACAACTTGGGATTTTGTCAGGGTTGATCAGTTCCATATTGTTGTGTATGCTATTATAAATGATATATTTAAGCAATCTTTGAAGTTGATTATTTGCCAAAATTGCTTCTGTGTGAATCAAGACACTCAACTTGTTCTCAATGTGTAAAGGCTTTTTTCTAAGTCAAGCATTTTCAGCTACTTGCTTGGAAAACCCCTGGCATGTTTTTTTTTTTTTTTAAGTTTTCAAAACAAAACTGATTTCTGGGTGCATTTTTGTGTGTGTTCCTTAGAATATCTGTGTAAAGTCAGTTTTTCTTTTTCTTAGTCATTGCCCAAAAAAAAGTGCTTTAAAGAGATCTGAAAGCAAAATGGAGATGGAATTTCTGTGATGTATAGTGCTGAACTATTTCTTAACCTTCAAAGTGGTTTTTCAAGAACCAGTTGGATGATGTAAGATAAATTATGAGGTGAAAATTAGTTGAGGTCTGTTTACTTTCGTTTCTGTGAGGTCATGCATTTGTAAACTTTCAACATTTCTGCAAACCAGCTTACCTCAAATTGGGTCTTTGTATTTTACATGTCATCATCCTAATTGACGTCTGTGCATTCCTAAATTTTTGTCTTTTGAATATGTGAAATGAAACATATACTTTAAAGCAAATGAAAATAAGCCAACCAGGCTGGCACTGAGGCCGAGGCTAGAGAAGACCAGGGGTGTGCAGACTGTTAGAAGGCAGCCACATCTGAGATGAGGCAGTCCAAAGTTTGTTTGAAGTGGCTCTCTGACCCCAGGTGTCCATTTTTTTTTTTAACAAGCATCTCAATTGCCTTGCCCCTACGAGTACATCAAATACAGTGTCTCTGCTTTTCTCTAGACTTCTCTGACTCAGTGTGCCACAACCTCAAACATAAATGCCTCAGCTTCCCCAAATGCCTGAGCTCCGCACCCCCTCACACTTTTGATGTTATTAGGGACATTCATACATGAAATTTTTCCCTTGTGTACTAATTCAGCAATGGTGTTCCTTAGAAGGAACTCAGAGATGTCTAAAACGATTCTGATTACAAATTTAAAGAAACATTACTTTTAGTCTTTCCATTTGCAAAAGTCAGCTTAATACTGTTTTTTGAAGAGCCCATTTAGTGCTTAACTGTAACATTTCCTATGTGCATATTCCAACAAGCCTTTCCCACTTTTCTATCTCAAGTCCTGAAGACTTACTGTCATTTTGATGCTTATATCTGCTAAGTCCTCATCTTCAGTCATGGATCTTAGAGTCACCTGTGTGTTTGCTAGTGGGTTTCTTCCTTAGATTTATAATACTTCTCAGATTTTACATGCGTAAACAGTAATCTCGAGTCCTACCCAAAGTCCCATTTCTATTTTCTTATCTCGCTCCACAACTGCCACACTACCCTCCACCTTTAGAAACACATCTGTTCTTTGACTTTACCTTCTCATCCAACTTTTTCTTCAATCCCTGTGTTCTCTTTAAGAATTGGCCTGCCTCTTTTATGCTCAAGTCTGTGTAACTGTTCCTCTAGCACAGCGGTTCTCAGCCTTCCTAGTGCTGTGACCCTTTAATACAGTTTCTCATGTTGTGGTGATCCCAACCATAAAATCATTTTTGTTACTACTTCATAACCATAATTTTGTGACATATGAATTGTAATATAAATATCTGTGTTTCCAATGGTCTTAGGGGACCCCTGTGAAAGGATCCCCAGAAAGGGTCTCTGCCTATAGGTTGGGAAATGGCATTCTATCAGATGATGCCTTCCTAACTCACAATTCAGAGGATCCTGGCTCTCATTCTTTCTTATTACCCTTAATGGTAATCTATTCCTATTGGAATCTTTTCCTTGCAAATGTTTTGCTAGTTCAATTGTAATAGCTAGGGTGGATGATTGACAGATATCTTTAGACTGTTAAAATTGACAGTTTAGTTGACTGAAGTTAAGCTCTTATAGTTTAATTGTAATAGTACTCATACTTTATGTAACATAAAGGCAATGACAAGAGTCCTCATAGGTCAACAATATATTTTCATATAAAAAACAATATTGAAAGTAATATATGAAAAGCAACTCAGTATCTCTTGATGAGTAATGGATGTAACATAACAAGATATACAACAAAATAGTAACTGGACATGTTAACTGATCCCACATAAATAATAATCCAAACAATATAATTGTCTGAGTGAGAATGTATAATTAGAAATAAAAGTATAGAGGAATATGAAATTATTCCACATTCTAATGGGTCATATTATAGAAGTGGGGCGTTTTATAAGTTTGTAAGACTTCAAAAACATAATTAAAAATGAAACTAAGGACACTAAGCTTCTAAAATGAGTAATCTCTGAGGAAAAGGAGAAGACAGTCACAGTTTATATACTTACAGATTAAAAATATTAAACTTTTTCTTTATTGTATATGGTGGGGGAAGGACATATGGAGGTCAGAAAGTAACCTGTGAGAATGTGCCCTTTCCTTCCACTGTGTGGGTCTTGAGGGCAGAACGATGGTAAAAGACTCGACCAAGGGTTTTTAATCCCTGAGACATCTCACTACCCAATTTTTTTGACTTTTTACAATGAGGATGTATTAGGTATGCAATTTTAAGAAAATTTGATGTATTTTGTTTTTTTTAATTTTTAAAGAGCCCACAAAACTGGTCAGAATGACTGCTTAAGCAAATGACTAATTTTCTGAGTCACTGAACTGATACTGTTTTCTTCACTTGAAGATTCTTAGAAATGTTTCAGGTGATAACTTCTTTTTATGCATGTCACTCTGTGTCTCTGAAGATAATGAATCATAAAAGCGGGCAGAAATTATGGCTTCAAGTATAGCGGGGAACAAACAGCTATAAGCCAATGATTGCCTAGGCAACCAAAGTCAGTTTTCACACAGATAGACTTAGTCATGGGCACAGAGGGAGGAGCCTCCCTTCTCCCCTGAAAACCAGAGATCAAAGCAGGATGGTGTTCTGATATTCATGAGACATCACCTATAGAAGTAAGCAATTATAAAAGTAAATTTGGCTACCAATGCTGGTTATTTTCTGTCACAGTGCACAAAAAAATTACAGAAGGCAGGTGACTGGGCAAATGACAAAATGTATGATGATGATTCTTTTGTTACTTGAGTCTTAACTTCTTCATTGTCACAGAGTGAGCAA